ATTTAAAAATTATATTAATAATTATAAATGTAATAGTAATTTTCAGGGAGATGAACATCTTTTTAAGCCTGATGAGTGAGTAAATCTCTTCTATGTTCTTTGAAAAATTTTACACTATTCAATCTTTTCTGCCTAATTTGACCTTAATTTTGATCTTATATTATAACGGTGTGAAAATATTAGCTCATATTTTGGTTAAGATTGAGCCCTATACTTGAAAGAGAGTTATTGTTGAACTAAGAGTTGAATTGAATCTTTATATTAAGCTCACTCCAAGTATGCAGTTTATCTGGCTTTCTATATATATATATTCCCGTAAATGTTTATACCTTGATATTGATGGGGACTTCACTTCAGTCAGCTGGCATAATAAAAAGAACATAAATTTTGGAGGCATATTGATCTGCGTTTTAATCCCAGGCCTATCTCATTTTAATTGTGTGACTTTAGTGATATTCTTTCTCTGGATCCATTTGCCCATTTGTAAAATGGTGCTAACAGTCTCTGTCATGCAGGGTTTTTGACAAGCATTAAATATGTTAAATGTTTCAAAATAGCAGAGGATGGAAAAAAAAATACCATGCGCCTGATTAAAAAAAAGAACCGGAGTGAATATACTGATGACAGACAAAATAGACTTTAGAATAAAAATGTTACTGGAGATAAAGAGGGACATCTCATATTGTTAAAAGGGTCAATCCACTAGAAAGATCTAACAATTATAAACAGGTATACACCTAACAACAGATCTCCAAACTATTTGAAGCAAAACCTGACATTGAAGGGAGAAATAGACAACAATAATATTGGGGGACTTCAGTACCCCACTTTCGGTAATGGGTAGAATGAGGAAGAATATCAATAAATAAATAGAAGACTCAACAGTACTGTAAATAAATTAGACCTTACATGTATCTGTAGAACACCACACCCATTAGCAAGAGAACACACATTCTTCTGAAGTGTACATGAAATATTCTTGTGGATAGATCATATGTTAGGCCATGAAACGAGCCTCAATGAATTTAAAATGATTGAAATCATACAAAGTATCTTCTCTGACCATAATGAAATTATATTAGAAATTGATAACAGAAGACAACAGAGGAAATATTTACAAATATGTGAAAATTAGACAACACACTCCTAAATAGCCAATGAGCCTAGAAGAAATCACAAGGGAATTAGAAAACACTTCGAGATGAGTGAAATAAAAAGACAACATACCAAACTTTGTAGGATGCAGCTAACATCATGCTTAAGAGGGAAACTTATAATCATCTGTATTAAAAAAAAAATAGTGGAGCATGGTGGTGCAAACCTGTAGTCACAGCTACTTGGAAGGCTGAGGTGGGAGGATTTCTTGAGTCCAAGAGTTTGAGACTAGCCTGGGCAACATAGTGAGACCCCCATCTTTAAAAAAAAATCCTCAAATCAATAACCTAACATTTCACTGTAAGAAATGAAAAAAGGAGCAAACTAAACCCAAAACAAGTGGAAGAATAGAAACAGTAAAGACTAACAAGGAAATAAAAAAATAGAGAAAATCAATGAAATCAAAAGATGATTCTTTGAAAAGATAACTAAATTCATAACACTTAGCTACACTCATCAAAAAAAGAGAAGAGATCCAAGTTATTGAAATCATGAACAAAAGGGGAATATAACTACTGACCATGCAGAAATGGAAATAATTATAAGAGAATACTCTGAAAAACTGTATACCAATAAGTTAGATAATTTAAAATGGACACATTTCTAGAAAGACACAAATTACCAAAACTGGTTAAGAAGAAACAGAAAGTCAATGCTGTAGCATGGTGTCTTAGAATATCAAATACAAAAAAAATCAAAAGAGATTGAATTAGTAATCAAAAAACTCTGACAAAGAAAAGCCCAGGCCTAGATAGCTTTACTGATAAATTCATTTAAATGTTTCAGAACAGTTACCACCAATTCTTCATAATTTTTGCAAAAATAGAAGAGGAGATAACGCTTCCTATATCATTCTGTGAAGTCAGTATTATTACCTTGATATAAAAGCCAAATATACTAAAAGCAAAAAAAAAACTACCGACTAGTATTCCTTTTGAATATAGATGCCCAAATTCTGAAAACTGTACTAGCAAGCAATCCAGCAAGATATAAAAAAGATATTACACCATGATAAAGTAAGATTTATCTCAGGAATGTAATACTGGTTTAACTCCTGAAAATCAACTAATGTAATAAATTACAGAAGCCAGATGATTATCTCAATAGACACAGAAAAACATTTGATAAAATGCAGCATCCTTTTATGGTAAAAATGCTCAACAAACTAGCAATAGAAGGAAACCTTCTACTCAACCTGATGAAGAGCATCTATGGAAAACCTACATCTGACATCACAGTTAATGGTGAAAGACTTAATACTTTCACCATAAGATCAGGAATAAGACAAGGATGTACACTCTCACCATGTCTGCTCAACATTTTACTGGAGGTTCTAGCCAATGGCAATAGCCAAGAAGAAGAAATAAAAGGCATCAGTTTTGGAAAGGAAGAAGTAAATTATCTTTTTGCAGATGACATAATCCTGTATAAATTAGAAAATCCTAAGGAATCCACACAAAAAGAGACAATTATTAGAGCTAATAAATGAGTTTAGCAGAGTTGTAGGATACAATGCATGGTCAACTTAGGAAAGCAGTTGTATTTCTGTAACTAGCAATGAGCAATTCAAAAATGAAATTAAGGAAACAATTCTATTGACAATAAAATAATAAAGAATGTAATTCTTAGGAATAATTTGACAAAAGAAGCATAAAACTTATCTTTTGAAAACTGCAATTTATCACAGAAAGAAATTAAACAAGGTCAAAACAAATGGAAAAATATCTCATGTTCATGTAAGACTTAATACTGGTAAGATGTTAGTACTCCCTGGATTGATGGTTTAATATAATCTCTATCAAAATCTCAGTTGACTTTTTGGAAGACAGCGATGTTTACCACTGTACCACCACTGAACTTTTAGTTGGCTTTTTGCAGAAATTAACAAGCAGATTCTAAAATACATAGGGAAAATAAAAAAAAGTTTATGTGGATGAATCCTAACAGATTTTTCTGTTGATAACATGCTATAATTAATTTAACTACTTAATACTTATTTTAGAAACGAGGTTTTACCTAGGGGAAACACTGGGGATACACTGGTGAGGACAAAAACAAAGAGACATTTACTCCCTTCATGGACCTTAAATTCTATGAGATGGACACATTAATGAAAGACCAACTCAAATAAAAGTGAATCATAATTGTGATAAGTGCTTGGATGAATGTGATAGAGAATTGATATAGTCAGGGAGGTAAAGGACAGTTTTTCTGAGAAAGTGATAATTAAGCTGACATCTAACCAAAGAGTGATTAATTTTACATATTTTACAGATGTAAGTTTGTCATATAATATCCTTCCATTTTTTTTCTGTATCTACCAACATACCTTTCACATCAACTTTTAAATGTGCTTAAGTTTCTTATATATTAAACAAAAACAAAACTCTTCTCTGACCTTTCCCTGCTTTATAACTACTACCCTTTATCTCACCTTTCTTCTTACCAAGAAAAAGTTGTCTAAACTTCCTGTTTCTATTTATACATCTCTCAAGAAAAAAAATTCAGGCTTACTTCTTAACCTTCTTTAACCTAGTCCAGTCTATATTATAATTATTATAACACAGTGAAACATTTCACCCAGGTCACCAATGACTTCCAAACCCAGGAGACACCTTTTAGTCTCCATTTTGCTTCACTATTCTGTCATATTGGGCATGATTGACAGCTGTCTTCTTGAACTTCTTGAAATGTTCCCTTATCTTGGTTTTCATGACATTATTCCCTTTCTGTTTTTCTTCTTCTTTTTTTAGTTTTCTTTGCTGACTTCTTTTCTAGTTATTAAATTGCTGGAGTTCCTTAAGACTTGTCCTAGGCTCTTTTCATTTCCCATCAAACACTTTAAGGCAAGTTTCAGACAGTATTTATAGATGATTCCCAAACCTATAGCTGACCCTACTTCTAAGATGTATACTAATTATATTCAGCCACCTCCCATATTTTTCTACTTTATTTGTCATTTGTTTATTCAGATATATTTATTTGCGACCCGTTATTTGACAGGCGTTGTGCTGGTGCAGAGTGTCTTACGTATCTCTAATGAAACATGATTAAAACAGAATTCATGATTGATATCTCCTGCCAAAAACAAGCAAGCGAGTAAACAAACAAAAATAGCCAAAACAAGGCCCTCTTTCCCATCATTGTTCTGATTCAACTATTGAAATCCATCCAGTTCATCTAACTTAAAACCTTGGGATCAGTCTCAACTCTTCTTTATCTGAGTACTTCCCTTTTCCTCATCCAATCCAATCCAGTTCAATCCATTCCAATCAATATGGTCTAACCTACTGCAATTTTACTAAAGTGTGGTTGTTCTACCTTCTAAGTCTCTGTCCAGTGCTTCCATTCTCTACCCCTGCTTCCCCTTTCACTGTTAATACCCTAGACCAAGCTACTATCACGTGACTGCTGCAGTAATTTCAAATTGGTCTTAACTGTCTTCACTTTTGACCGCCATTTGGCGACTTGCCATATGACTGCAGTCATGATTTTTTAAGTGTTCCGTAATTCCTCTGTCTCAGTTTTCTTATCTGTAAAATTGGGATAAGAATAGCCTTTCTATCATAGGGTTACTGTAAGGATAAAATGAATTATTATGTATAAAATACTTAGAACAGTGCCAGGCACTAAGTCCTCAGTAAATTGTTAATAATACCTTGTACAGCGTTACATTAAGCCAAGTAAAAGGTATGATTAAGAGAGAAAGATGGTTTATTAATAATAGATTTGAATGGAATAATTATCTTGTTTATACTTAATTGTGTTATATATGTTCACACTAAAAACCTGCAGCTCTTTTAATACATGACCTTATTATGTGTAATGTTTTTCATAATTAAAAGGCTAAGAAGCACCAGGCCTTCCTAGTAGAGACATGTGAAAATAACGTGAAAGAATTGGAATCGATCTTGGACAGCTTTACTGTGTCGGGCCAGTGGACATCAGGTTAGTTGAAGGTATAAAATGACAGATGCATCTGTCAGTGTTCCAAAGTCACTACATTTTGGGAATTCTGCAGATGCCTCTTATAGTCCCTCATCTCAACATGTTTTGATTTGATGACATGATAAGAGCAGTTCTCACAGCAGTCAGTTGGCCTAGCTGGCTGAGAAAGGGTGACGGAATGTGGACCTGCTGTTGTCCTCCCAGAACTTGATTTACAAGTGTTGGGGTCTGTGTGATTGGACAGACAAGGGCTCACTTGCTGTGTTCTGAATCCAACTGAGAAAAAAGTCCTTACAGTATACCTGCAAGGGGAACAGATGTTTCGATCAAACTGAGCCAAATTCTGAGGCAACCTTCAGCAACTTAAAGGTCATGCATTTAAAAGGTTATGTAGGACACAGGCTGTAGCATAGTGCATGTTCTGTACTTTCCAAGCCGGTTTTCTAAGCTGGTTTTCATTTCATACTATCATATACATATACTGTCCAGATAAGAATGCTTAGGTAAAATATTTTAGTTGTAGTTTCAGCCCACTTCATATGATAAAGAGCTATAGAATTATATATTCATTAGGTAGACATATTTTGAGAACTAGCAAAAGCAATGGTTGGCTAATGAATTCTGTTCACTATTTCCACTTTCTTAGTGTTTTGTGTATATGTTATTTGTGTTATAGTAGCTTTGACATAAATACTTTTACTTTTCTACCTCAGTTTTCTTTTGTCATTTGTTCATTCAAATATATTTATTTGCGACCCATTATTTGACAGGCATTGTGCTGGTGCAGAGTATCTTATGTATCTCTAATGGAATATGATTAAAACAGAATTCATGATTGACACCTCCTACCAAAAACAAGCAAGCATGTAAACAAACAAAAATAGCCAAAAAAGGCCCTCTCTCCTGTCATTGTTCTGATTCAACTTCTGAAATCTGTGTCAGCTTTGAATTATTTGGTGGTCTTCTAACACACAGTTCTGTTCTTCAGAAGACACATAAAATTAAATATCCTCACTCTTAAAAATTGAGCTGCAGGATTTAAAAAAAAAATTTCTTTTTAAAAGAATCTAACAGCAATTTGGCAAATAAGTTCTTTAGAGAGCTCTTAAGCTCAGGAAGTTTGTTGTCCTTGAAAACTTGGAAGTCATCAAGGCTCATATTTTACCTTGTGGATCTGTAGATTTCTCAGTTGGTAAGCTGTTAGAAATGTAGTGTGCTTTGCTATTGTCTATGTTTTAAGTCTCTGTGTTTTTAGCTTTTATGAAATTAATGTGTAACTATCTTTGTTTTTATTTAAACTTTTCCCAAAAGCATTAGCATTCATAATTTGTTATCATGGACAAATCAAAGGATATAAAAGTGTCACAAAAGTAGATATAGGTTTCCAGTTTCAATTATATTTGTTACAGCTTTGGAGGAGAAAATTTTCCTTTACACTGGTATGTTTTTATTATTGAGATGTATCAGTGCTGTTTAATGGTATTGGGATTCTTTACAAATTATTAAATATTGTAACAGTATATCATATGCCTCAATATTATTTTATATATTTCTTCAGAGTTGAATTACAAAAGCTAAGAATAATGTGATCATGTCTCCTTTGAGTTTTCAAGTACAACAGTTGGTAACAAAGCAACTTATAAGTTATTACTAAGCCTACAGAGTTTTCTATTAAAATTTTTTATTTTTATTCTTATCTTTAGTAACCATCCTTTTTATCTTCCTAATTTTCTGTTACAGATGCATGCTTTGTATATTATAGGGAATGTGTTCCCAGAAAGGACTGTACTGAATTAGTGATTTTTGGATTGTGACAGATCTTGTGCTGATTTTTCTCTTTTACACCTTTCTCCCCTCACTGATCCATTCTCCTCTGCTCTCTATTTCTCTGTGTGCCTTGGGAGGCTGACTTCTGTGGATCTGGGTTACTTTGCCTTCTGGCTTCTCATTGGGTTTGGACAGTAGGTGCACCCACAGGAGATTAAGGGGGTGAGAGAAGACAGCAGTCAAGGTATTTATTTCCTCTGCTCCATTGCATTTTTGGCAGTGGCTTCATTTTTCAGCAGCCACAGTGCCTGTCGGGAGGACCCTCTTTTCATGACTGTGGCTCTCGTTGGACTATGGTGACATTCTCTCCACTTGACCTTTTAAGCTAAGGCATAATATTTGTTTTCCACTCTTGTTTGCTCTTGGTACCTCATCATACCTTTTTGGGTTTGTTAACCTGTACACATTTCTATAGTCTCTTCCTTAAATTCTCTTGCTGATGACCTCTTATTTAATTTACATCCTGATTGATTTACATACCTGCTTGGGACCTGGTTTCATTCCTACTCTTGGCTTGCATTAAAACAGCTCTGGTCTTTATAATGGACTCCCTTTCTGCTCAGATTGGGTTTTTGTTACATAAACAAGAAAGTGAGTCACAAATTTTTTGGCTTCCTGGTGTGTATAAATGTTATGTATATACTATACTGTAGTCCAATAAGTTGTGGTAAGATTATTTCTAAAAAATGCACATACCTTAATTAAAAAATACATTATTGGCAAAAAGTGCTAATAATCATCTGAGCCTTCAGCAAGTCATGATCTTTTTGCTGGTGGAGAGTCTTGGCTTGATGTTGATGGCTACTGACTGGTCAGGGTGGTGGTGGCTGAAGGTTGGGATAACTGTGGCAATTTCTTTTGGTTACCTAAAAAATGGGTACATAATAATTTTACATATTTATATACAGATTTATGGTATGCATGTAATATTTTGATACATTCATAAAATATGTGTAATCATCAAATCAGGGTATTTAAGATAGCGCTCACCTTGAACATTGATCATTTCTTTCTATTGGGAACATTTCAAATCTTCTGGCTATTTTGAAATATAAAATATATTGTTGTTAACTGTAGTCACCCTACTATGCTATTGAACTCTAGAACTTATTCATTCTATCTAACTGCATGTTTATACCCATTAATCTACCTCTCTTCAATACCACCATCCACATCGCCACTAGTAATCACCATCTACTCTCTACCTCTGTGAGATCCACTTTTTTAGCTCTCACATGTGAGTAAGAACATAGGATATTTGTCTTTCAGTGCCTGGCTTATTTAATTTAACATAATGACCTCCAGTTTTATTTATGTTGCTACAAGTGACAGGATTTTATTCTTTTTTATGGGTAGATAGTATTCCATTGTGTGTGTGTATGTTCATGTATATATATGTATATATATACACACACACACACATCACGTACTCTTTTTTTTTTTTTAGAGACCGTATGTTGCTGTATTGCTCAGGTTAGCCTTGAACTCCTGGGCTCAAACAGTCCTCCTGCCTCAGCCTACCAAGTAGCTAGGACTTTAGGTATGGTAGCATCTGGTTTATACCATATTTTCCTTATCCATTTGTCCAGTGTTGGACACTTAGGTTGATTCTGTATCTTGGTTATTGTGAATAGTACTCTAATACATATGATGATGCAGGTATCCCTTTGATATACTGATTTTCTTTCCTTTGGATAAGTATCAGTAGTGGGATTGCTGGATCATATGGTAGCTTTATTTTTAGTTTTTTTTTTTTTTTTTTTTTAAGGAGATAGAGTCTTGGGATGTTGCGCAGGCTAGTCTTGAACTCTTGGTCTCAAGCAGTCTCCACACTATTTTTCATAATAGCTGTACTAATTTACATTCATCAACAGTGTGTAAGAGTTCTCTTTACTCCGCATCCTCTCCATCATTTGCTATTTTTTTCTTTTGTCTTTTTGCTACTGGCCGTTCTAACTGTGGTGAGATGATATCACATTGTGCTTTTGATTTGCATTTCCCCGATTTGTGATGTTGAGAATTTTAAAATATACTTGTTGGACATTTGTATGTCTTCTTTTGAGAAATGTCTACATATGTCCTTTGCCTACTTTTTATTGGGATCACTTTTTTGCTGTTGAGTTGTTTGTGTTCCTTGTCTATTCTGCATGTTAGTCCCTGTTTGATGAATAGTTTGTAAATATTTTTTCCTATTCTACAGGTTTTCTCTTCACTCTGTTGATTGTTTCCTTTGTTGGGCAGAAGCTATATAGTTTAATATAGTCCCTTGGTTTATATTTGTTTTTGTTGCCTGTGTTTTTGAGGTTTTAGCCATAAAATCTTTGCCTAGATCAGTGTCCTGAAGGATTTCCCATATGTTTTTTTCTATTAGTTTTATAGTTTCAAGTCTTATGTTTGAGTCTTTAATCTATCTTTAATTGATTTTTTAATACAGTAAGATTTAGGGGTCTACTTTCATTCTTCTACATATGAATATAATTTCTTAAGATGACAGTGATGAAGTTTGCTGCATCTGTTGACTCTTCCTTTCATGAAAGATTTCTTTATACCATGCCATGCCTTTTGATACCATTTGTGTAATATTCTAAATTATTTGTTGTCATTTTATAATGAACCCCTCAAAGTCATCCACGAGGATTGGAATCAACTTCTTCCAAATTCCTGTTAATGTTCACATTTTGGCCTACTCCCATGAATCACAGATGTTTCTAATGGCACCTGAAATGGTGAATTCTTTTCAGAAGTTTTCAGTATAATCTGCCCAAATTCATCAGAGGAATCACTATCTATGGCAGCAATAGCCTTATGAAATGTATTTCCTTAATAGTAAGACTTGAAAGTAAAAATTACTTCTTGATCCATGGGCTACAGAATGGATCAGTTGTGTTACCAGGCATGAAAACATTAATCTCCTTATACATTTCAGAGCTCTTGGGTGACCAAGTACATTCTCAGTGAACAATAACATTTTAAAAGGAATCTTTTTTGAGTAGTAGGTCTCAACAGTGGGCTTAAAATATTCCGTTAAACATTCTGTAAAGAGATGAGCTGTCATCCATATGAGCTGTTTCAACTTGTCATCCAAGTTGAAGCCAATGCTCATTTACCATTCGAAAATCTCACGGCCCTTAAGAATTATGCTGTATCTATTCTACCTCTGCCCTAGTAGCTGG